GGCCCCCTTCTTGCTGTTCGCTGAGGCGGCGATGGGTTTCTTGCCGCCCTTGACTGCTGCTGCTGTTGATGCCCCGTTCTTGGGGGCAAGCTTTGTCGTGCTAGTAGCCTTGGTCCCCGCCGACGATTGGTCGATGTCGGCAGCGGAGCCCAGTGCCGGCTTGGCGGGAGAGCTCTTGCTGCGGCTCCGACTAGCAGGGCCACCTCCAAGTGCGGCAGAGGCGGTAGCCTGCTTCTTCCCGTTGGATTTCTTTCTTCGAACAGCAGGAGCGTCAGCCTTTCCCAACGTCGGGGAAGGACTGGAGTCCACCACCTCGATCACCTGCGGCTGCGCCGCCGGTCGGGAGGAGCGCTTGCTGTTCGCGGGAGCAGGAGCCGGTGCTGTTGCTCCCGATCCTGCTGCCGCCGACTGATGCTGCTGCTGCCTGCCCCGACGGGCTGGCACTTCCTTGTCGATTGGGACATCGGGCGACAGGGACCGCAGGGGGGCTCGGTCCGACTGGTCTCGGACGACCCAGGCATCCAGCGTGCGCTTTGTGGGAGGCGGCGCCTTGCTGGGACCCTTGCGGCCTCTCTTGCTGCCGCTGCTCTCCTGCTGAGATGATTTCTTCATGCCGCCGCTGCTACTCTTTTTACTAGCTGCGGTGGATGCTGCTGTTCCGCCGCGCTTGGCATTCGGCGTGGCTGCAGGCGTCGCGATACCGGGCATGGTGCAGGGTTCGACCTTTCCAGAGAGAGAGAGAGGTCGGCAAGAGCGTGGTGAGATCAGCAGGTCAGAGCAGCTGCCACGCGGACGCTTGAGGGTGCTGCTCTCTCGACAAACCGAAACGAGCACATATGGCAAGGGGCAAGATTCGAAATATGGGGCGCCCGCGACTGGGACTTGGACAAGCACACCCCGGGTCAGCAAATTTCAAAAAGGGGCTCCGTAGCTCATGTTTCCCGCGCAACGCACGGCACAGACGGCATCTACAGCAGTACTTGCGCATTACCGCATCACTATTTCGTTCGTTGTCTGTTGTTGCTCGGAATCGTTCTATACTCTGAAGCGCAACGGTTTTGCTGCAACGTGTTTACTGCGACGTTGTATCGCCGTGTATTATTATTGTTATTCTTCCTACCTGCTTGCTGCTGCTGGCTATTTACTACGAGTTGGAGTATGTATCAAGGTACAAGAGTACACGTTATCATCGAACGAGTTGCGGCGCCATTCCTACAGCGCATGTCCCGCCACATAGGTAGCAATGATACCCTCGATTACAAGGACCTTACCTCCTACCACGCCAACAGGCTGAGCACAGACAGGCGGCAAACGCACATACAGCGACAGGGTTTATTGGCATTAGACCTACCTACAGAGTACAGCAGTCTCGCCGTACGCTGGTAAACCACACCACCCACCCACCATCCTGAGCACTAATAATACGTTACATCTGGCGACAAAAAAAAAACGTACCATCCCCAAGGACCGCCATTTGCAGCTGTCATTCGCACGCAAACGAAGCACAGCAGCATGCCAAACACCATCATCATAGCAGGCTACAGCGCACCCGCGCTTCGCTTCGCGCTTGGGTGATGTGAGAGCCTGGTCTGGTGAAAACTGGAGGCGTGCTGACTTTTGTAGGGATGCAAGGTCAACGGCCTAAACGGCTACGGCATGCACGGCTACGAGTACCCCCCCCCCCCTCCCCCCACCCCCCCCAGGACTGCACCCACACCACCTCACTGACTGGAGTGTCGCCTCAAAAAATGGAAAACCGTAAGAATTTACCTACAAGTGCCTACAAGGATTACCAACTAACCAACGACGAGAGTTGCAACAACAACAGCTAGGCGTTGTTGATGCCACAGGGGAACGCACCCTGGATGTGTGGATGATGACTACTTCTTCGCCTTGAACAACAACAGCAACAAGAAAGAAGGGGGAAAAAAAAAAAATAGAAGCACAACAAGCAAAAATCGATTAAATTTCACACGAACACATGCGGACAGAGAGTGCAAGCGCACAGATCATGAAAAAAAACATGCACAAAAGCTGATCATAGGGTACATGTATGTGTATCGTACTAAGGGCGGCGTGTCTATGCACCGTCCTGCTACGGCTTCGAAAACTCACACCGCATACCGTAGGTGACGTAAGATATCACACCCCCTGAACCGAATTTAAAAGCTCGACTGCGTTAAGGAAAAATAAATACACGCACAGAAAGACTACGTACGCGACGACGAAGGGGATGCCACCGTCAAACAGCGCATTTTCGGAAATACACGCACAGAAAGACTACGTATGCGACGACGAAGGGGATGCCACCGTCAAACAGCGCATTTTCGGAAAGCTAGCTCTCGACGAGGCACTTCCAACGCCGCCATTTTCGGCACCGTTGTTGTTCTTGCTGCGAAGCAATCAAGCTCCGAAAAATCAGTCCCATGGGGTTTGATATCTTATTACAAGTCGCGTACTCACTCAAATCTCGCCTCGTCGTGCAAAAAAAAAAATGATTTTGAAACCAGAAAAATACCACCCACCCT